CCGTAAGCCAAAACTACATATTTCCATCTCTTTCGGGCCCTAAAATTTTTCTTTCTATCAAATAATATTTTGTACAATAAACTAAACTAGTGTGTATATGCGTTTCACCCCCTGGGCTTCTATATGTATATGTGTGTGTTTGTTTGTGTGGGTGTAAGGCATGATAAAATAAAAATACGAAAAAAATGAGGAAAATTAATAATGAAACTCAAACACACAGACAAGGACAAATGCCATGTACATAAATACATACATACAAGTAGATTCATAAGAAATAGTCAAGGGGGTTGTAATAATCATTTTTATAATATTGCAAGTGCCTTGGACCGTAAGTTTTTCTTGCCTTCTAATGAGGGATTCATTATTATCATCAGTTTTATCGCGACTTTCATCTACAACGTCATGATGAGGAACTTTTATCTGCCGGGCCAGGACTCTCTCCTACACCCAGTGCCCCAAAAAGTATGCAGCAAAATATTTTGCAAGAAATCTATCTTCAAAAAATTCCATAAATTCGAGCTGCCATCTTACACACATACCAGGGGGAGAAGTTTGCAATTTTATCTGAAAACACACTCACACACACACATCCACCCACCGAAGAATATAGTTGGGGGAGTAAAGTAAGCCCCCACCTCCAACCACCCACGCCTTCTTTTCTGGCCCCGAAGCGAGTTTATGAAACCATCAAATTATTTTCTTTTCCATTTCTGACACTCAAAAGAAACGGCAAACATACAGAAGGAAAAATGAGGAAAATCGGGTGGAGGAAGAGGACAAGGAAGTGGGTGAGGGTGAAGGGGAGTCAAGAAGAAAGGCAAGAAATGACGGGAAAAAAGGGAGAAAAAATTATTATTTTCCAGTTACACTCGGCTTGGTCTCCATGGTGGCCCTGGCACATCCTTTACATTATTTTCCTGCTGCTGCTCAAAGTTTTTGCCATGTGGCCCCCCCAGCCCAGGCCCCCTTTTGGCCCCCAAAACTTTCGCCCCGCCTCTTAACCGAAAATGCCTGCGGGTTACATTTTGCCAAGTCCTGTAAGTTTGTTAGTGTATGATTTGGGGAGTATGTGTGTGTGTTCAGCCACTTCGTCTTATTCGAGAGCACTGTGAGAAATAAAGGTTGCAAAAAAAAATTAAAATATTATACATACACCTAAGTCCAATATATACATTATAGATATTTTATGAATTACTATAAGTTAATAAAAATTTAATAAAATTTTTAATTTCATAAAATCTTAAATTTTTCTCCTTATTACTGAAATTTTTATGAGAAAATGCCTGCCAGCTCAGTCCAGTTATTGCATGTGTATGTGTGTGTGGGCTGTATATCAAAATATTTAAAAGCAAATATAATATTGGGGGAGCTAGGTGGGTGGTAGTGGATGGCCAAGCTTGGGTGGCTGTGGGTGTTTTATTAGAGTGTATGTGTAAGCCATAAGAATTCGGGCAAAAGGCGTAATAGAAAAACACTTAAGACGGAATCCCCTACAAAGCCCTCTGCGAAATATCAAAATGTAAAAAAATTATATATATACAAAAGTATAGGAGTGTATATATATATAAATATATATTAATAATGAGCCGCAGCGCCAGCGCAAAGAGAAAATGAGAAAAAATTATTCGGTTCTGTGTGTGTCTGTGTAGAATTTATTGATTTTCAGCGAATAAATATTACTGGAGGAGCACATGGCAAGTGACTTAATATCAGTCTGTTCAATATTTACAACATACACATGCAAAATGCATACATGTATTCGTATTTGTACATATATCAGATTGTATCATATATATCTGTATATTGAAATTGATTTGGCCTGCTGACGTTGCCATGATGTGTTATCGTTGAAATTTTTATATTTTTATTGTCAGTCGCAGTCGCATTAAAAATACTTAATCTCCGACGGCACAGTTATTGCCTCCACACACTGTCATAAAAAGTGGGTGGTTGCTTGGTGATCCTTTTGGGGGGATGGCGGACTGGATGGGCGCTGGGCCAGTCCGGCGCTTTAATCATGTCCATATCGAAAAATTTTACTTTATCACAACTCCGAGCCGGGCATATTATTATTATTTTCATTGTTGTTGCCAATGTCGTTGTTGTTTTACTTTTACGTTATTAGCACCCGTAAGGGGACCTCATGGCGTATACTCAATGTGTGATAAAAACCCCTGCGAGTGTGCGAGTGTGCGAGCAAGCTAATGAGACTTTTTAATAAATTGCCCCATTCTGGCCTGGCCTCGTTTTTACTACAATTTTCATTATTAATAAAACTTTATGACATCTATATCTGGAATTGTGCATTTTTGTTTCATCAAAAAAACGAAAATGAGGACGTCGAGGGCGGGACCAGAATTTATTATTCCAATTAAATTTACCAACTTTGCTCGTCACTGTCCCTGTGTGAGTGGATGTTTTTTTTTTTTGGACTGCGTCATGGCATCTATCAAAATTTCGCATTTATCATATTTTTGGGGGGTTTTTTTGATCAACTGAAAATTATCTATATAGGACACATGTTAGACACGTGATGCCCTCAAATGATTTATCAATCTGAACCTTTTTTGAGAAGATAAATGTACTGTTTTAAGAGTATCCTATAACTATTACGAATAATGTAAATTTTTAAATAAAAATCCAATAATATATACATACATACATGCTTATAGATTTTTTTGGGATATATTTTTAGGCAGGGACAGGGACATATAATTGATTATTTTAAATTCCAAAAGCAACCATTAATTTCGATTGATTGGAATCTAAAAAATGTAAATTTTGAAGCATTAAAAAGCAATAAGCAACACATTTTTAGAATATGCCAATTCAAATAAATTTTAGTTTCCTTTTTTTCCAGCCAATTGGAATTTTGTTTCGATTATCTTGTACTACAAGATAATAATAATTATCACCTACAAGACTTGTAGGTGGCCAATGCAAGCGTTTAAAGTTTAAAAGTCCGATTATATAGTCGGATTTTGGATTATCTTGCTGGGGGACTCACAATGTCTCTGGCCAGAGAGAGCATCTTTAATCCTAAGTGTAAACTTATGCGAAAATTAGCGCACTTCGAACGGAAACTCCTTGGATAAGGCATTTTTAGGCTAGTATCAAAATTATCAATTATTTGTTACTTAATTAGTTTGTTAACGTTTAAAGCACTTTATTGGTTTTGGGTTTTTCTTTATTATTTAATTATTATTTTTTAGCACAGCGTTTCTGGTTAGAAAAATACAAAATAAGCTTAGCTATCCTTGGATTGAATGTGATTGTGTTGCCACCACTTATTTGATTGTTATTGGCTTTGAAATCCTTTTGGTTTGTCACTCATTTCGAACACTTTGGACACTTTGAAGTCGGCAGATTGAGGTTGATATTTAATTTGGCTTTTTTGTTGCTTCATTGCAGTTGATACATCCTGTTGTTTTTGTTGTTGTTGTTGTTTTGGTAACTTACAGAACTTGTACAGGGCGTTACACTTATTTGAACATGCCGACAAGTCTAAAACGACGCTGTGGTAGCCACCCGCGGCTACTTCTGCACCACGTACGCGTTTTCTGTAGACTGACTCGGCTTTTCCGTTTTCCCAACTGCCAGCCTGCCAAAGGATGCAGACACCCACACACACACACACACTCTGAAGCAGATGGAGAGAGCCAAGACCTGTCGGAGAGAAACCACCCCAAAAGCCAACCCCAACCATTCAACGGTCTGTTGCTATTTTGTTTACTTCTCGATGCGGGGGCGTTCTATGGAGAATCGAAAAAAAGAAGAACAGAGAGAAAGTTGGAGAGAGTGGCTGGAGTGGAGAAGGGATGGGATAACATGTGCCACTTAATCAAAAAACATACATACATATATGTGTTTCGCGCCCAAAGTGCAAGAATATCTCATCTGAAAAATATTATTGCCTACTTTTAAGGGCACTTTTTCTTACTTATACATTTTTTTAAAAATATTTTTAAATTTATGTATGCAGCGCGGCCACTTGATGGATTCGCTCACAAACACTCTTACAAAATAAAAATCACTAATCCTACCCTCTGCTCACAGGACATGCGTATTGGATAAGTCCCCTCTATACAGAGAACTATCTTCTCGTGGCCAATTTTTTGTTGTTATTGCTAAAACAGTTTATCAACACGACCGAGTCTCTGATAAAACAATCATCGTTTATGGTGCAACACGCTTCAGCCACCGCTTCCCCCCAACGCAGCATAATTGAGATATAGTCCAGTGACCAGAACCGGGGGTGGCTAGCCAGCTCGGAGTGAAGTGGAATCGACAGCAAAAAAAAAAAAAAAATGAAATAACATAAAGGGCCTGAAGTGGTGTGGACATGTTCGGCAACCGCATGATTAGAAATCGAGTAAAGTCGATGACAAAATGTTCAGGCCGGGGACACCGCACCAATCGTGCAATGGATGGGGTGGAATGGGGTTATTCCTGGGAGGAGCCATCGAACTATGTAGGTTAAACTCAAACCCCTGAATTCAAATTTTTTGGTTAATGATTTTTCAGCTGCTTTATGACAAACAAATATCAATGCAAAGGCGTAACCTGCGTGCGGCCCGTTTAACTGCCATTCCCGCCCTGGCCTTTCACCCCAGCAACCCGGCTTAAACGGTGGTTCCCCCACGGAAAAGCGGAGCACGCGGCGGAAATGAGAGGGCATAGTTTTCGCATTTTCCTTTAAATTACAAAACAAAACTACAAAGAAGTAAGAAAAGTATTTTTCCTACTCGAAGTATTGGATATCCTAGGAAAAATATAATATATATGGGTTGTAGTTCATTGTTGAGCTTCATAGTTCTAAAGATGCTTTACCAAAACTATTAAAATATTTTCTTATATTATTATATTAAAGATGCTTTACCAAAACTAATACAATATTTTCTTATAAAATATGTTTCATCTACAAACCATATCTCTGATCTACAATTTAATGTTATTATATAAATCTTTATTAAAAATCTTAAGTAAGCATACCCATTTCAATTGCTGGGTAACTTACGAAAAAGACGAATGAGAAATCAAATATGAGCTTAGCACGATATATTCAAATTTTGTACGTTTCCCGCCACCTCGGCCCCCCGGGGACAGGGAGCCAGCAATGGGATTTTATTTGATTTTTTTTATATGCCATATAAAACAGGGCTTTGCGATAATGCCCAACTTTTCAATAAAAATCCGAGTACGCCTTCTACTTGTCGCTCTTGCTGTTGGAAGACTTGCGCTGTCGGTGCTGCAGCAACTCCTGATATTGCTCTATGGAACCATCTTCGTGTTTGGAGGTAAATACCTCCTGCTGTTTGGAAGACTTTCCCTGATCATCACCAGCGGTGGTGTCTTTGCTGCGTTTCGATTTCTTGATTTTGTCACGCACGCGTTTCCCCAACCTCGACGCGGCCAGTACTTGGCTGACCTTGGAGCTTTTTAGGTAGCGTGTACGCCAGGACTATAAAAAACAAAGCATAGGGTTTAGATTACTTTGATTACTACTTAATAATCTGGCTTACCTCAGAGTCGTTCGGCTGAAGCTTTTCGCGCTCATCTTCGCTAGTGTCCAGGGAGATCACATCGTTGTCGTGTTCTTCAGGTTCATGTTTCTCAGACTTTTCGCTTTTGATGTTCGACGAGGTCGGAGGGTCGTCTTCCTTTGTCATTTCTTCAATCATTTCCAGGTCACCGCCTATAGAAATGACATCGTCGTTCTGGTCTTCATCATCAAGAGCTGTTTGCTCAGAATTGTCCGGGGGGTTTTCTTTTTGTTCTGAAGTTTTGTCTTCTGTTTTTGAAGATTCTTCCTGTGACTTGTCAGTCTTCTCAGATTCCTCTGACTTTTCAGGTTCCTTACTTTGGGAAGGTTCTTCTGCCTTAGAAGACTCTTCAGGTTTAGCCACCTCTTCCGGCTCATCACGAACTTCCCCTTCTTCCGGTTCGCTTTCCACTTCTGGAACTGGAGGTTCCACTGGCACTGGAGCTGGTGCAGGAGCTTCCTTGGGCTGATCCTTTTTCGTGCCCTCATCGTCTGTACTGTCGCTAATCAGAAGGGTTTCTGTTTCGGTTTGTATGGGAATAACATCGGGAGAGGCGGAACGCGACTTGGAACGTGGTTGTTTCTCTGTAGATTCCACCGCAGGAGCAGGAACTGTCGGAGGAGTGGACTTGGCAGCTTCTGTTTCGGGTGACACGGAGCTTTGTCGATAGTTTCGCTTTATTTTGATCTTTTTACGCGGCGCCTCCTCTACCGATGGCTGATCCTTTTTGGATTCCTTAACCTGAGGTTGTTCCACGGATTTACGTTTTCCTGATTCAGTGTTTTTCTTGCTGCGTTTCTCTTTCTCCTTACGCTGTACTGGCTTCTCGGGACCTTCGTCATCATCATCTGACTTGACCTCTATTTTGGTTATGGGTTCCATGGCCAGTTGGGATCGAATGGCTCGGGCACGAGCCTGGAGCTCAAGTAGTTCCAGTACACTCATCTGGCCATCAGCTGGGGAGAAATTTAAAACATAGTATTTACTGCCCTTAGTAAACCGATCTTTTTCATTCAAAACCTAGTTCAGACAGCCATGTGGCTCATTCATTCCCATATTGTTTCAACCAGTTAACACTCACCCTTGTTTTCATTCCCATTATTCGCCTTTTTCGACTTGAGCTTTTTCTTGGCTGTAACAGAAATTAAATAACACAGATTAAATATAAATTGTAAGTAAATACAGATTAAAAATTAACTGCACGTCACAATGGTGGTGGAGAAAGAGGCGTCCTTGCATTTGGACAGCGAAAGCATCGAAGTCGAAGAGGAGCAGCTGACTGACGAGGATCGTCTGGACAAGTTCAAGGTAAAGCTCAACGGCCAGCATGATCTGGAGCAGCGGCTAAAGGACTTCAAAGCGGCCTGTGAGGCTCACGAGAAACATGCACGGTGCCACCGGCGAAAACGCTACTACCATCTGGGCCTGATGGCCAAGTTGGTGTGCGAGACCACGCACGACGAAATGCGTCGCATGCTGGAGAATGGAACCTTCACCTTTCACGTGGACACGGTTGCCAATAAGCCCGATGAGCTGACGGCCATTTTGGACACTATGAACATAGCCATAGCGGCGCATTCCATGGAGAGAGAGCTCCGGCTGACCACTGGCCTGGCCGTAGAGATCAACGGCGAGTGCTGCCGAGTCGGTCGTCTGAGAAACAACTGCACCGTAATGATGGTGAGAGGCTCTGTAGTCACCTTGACCACGGATGAGGCGTACCGCTACCTGGGATTCAAAGAGATCGTCTACGTAATCAACCTGCGCGCTTATCTCAGCTCGGTGCAGCTAGGCGACATCCTGATGATTGGCAAGGAAGTCAGGGGTCGTGTGGTCAAGACACTTCGCGAGGCCTTGGCCGTGATGATCATTGATCCGGGCTTGCTAGCCTCCTACGACTTTATAGAGCTACCCCGTCAGTGCCACGCACTGTCGCCAGAGATATATCCTGACCTGTATATGAAGGATCTGAAACTGGCAGTGTCGCTCAATGCCAACTATGTGATTCTGCCCAAGATCCGTTGCAAGAACTTCCTGCGTGCCGTAAGAGAGACCCTGAATACCCATTTCAATCTTAAGCTGATAGGGATGATCGATTTCGAGTACATTCGCAGCAATATGCTGGATCTGCTGGGCATCATCAAGCTGGTGGACTACATCTGGATACCGGACATGTTCAACGTCAACTGCTGCGTCTACAACTACATCATGGAGGATGTGATGCCCATTTCGCACTGCCAGAACAAGCCTGTTATTGGCACTGTTCCTCTTGAGCGCTGCAGCGACTTTAAGCGATTCGAGCTTCACGAATTCCTTTGGAAGATCGACGCCATTCACATCCAGAAGAGTCCCTGGTGCAACAAGTACCCGCTGATTGTCAAGAAACTGATGCCTATCAAGGACTACCGAGTGGGTGTGGTTCAGAACAAGATGGTGCTGAAGAACATTCTGACCTCCTATCAGACAATCGTGAACTTCATCATCCGTACTATCTGCTCTATTGAGTGCCAGGCGATCTTTCTGTTCAGCAAGTGTGAAAACGCAAGTGTTGCGCTTTCGCGCGTAGAAATCTACTGTCCAGTGTACCTCATGATGCCCCTCGAGGAGACTGACAGCGAAGAAACTATCAACTGCAAGGTGGAACTGGCACGGGCGCTGCATCTGCGCCGGAATATGCATCCAGTCTTGTACACCAAGGACGTCAACGAATGCAACTACAATCCCATTGAGTTTGGGGTGGATTTCATGCGAAAGAAAGGTTGTCTGGAAGTGGGCGACTTTGTGGTAACACTGGAAGTGGGCAAGGAGGACAATGAGAATGTATCCCTCGGCATTGGCGACGATGTTTGTATTCTGCGGGCGTTCTATGTGGCTCCCCTTCTTGCTTGCGAGAAGTTCAAATACGGCAGCTAACTTTCCGAGGTGCAAGTTATGTATACTATATAGTGTTAACTCTAAATTAAAGGTAATACCATTTAAAAGTTGTGTTTTGACTTACCTCGCCGCGATTCCTGCCCTCCGATGTCGCTGTCTGACGAGATCTCCTCCAGGGAAATGTGTTCTAAGAGGAAACTTTTAGATTTTGTACTGTTTTTGAAGAGATCTACTTACCCTCCTTGTGCTCCACGTCAGAATCCTCTGAGCTCTCTGTATCCGTAGGACAGCGGGTATTTTCAATGATGGATTTAAGTCGCTTTGTGGACAAACAGAGTAGCTCTTCCAGGCAAAGTTCTTCGATCTCATCCAGGGGTGTTTTCTGGAAAAAAAGTTTAGTCTTGGACTCCTTTATAGAATGTGTCTCACCTTTAAAAACTCTGGTGCGAGGTTGAGAATGGTTTTCGGTTTCAAAGTACCAAAAATTTGCTTTACCAACTCCAGTCGGTCGTCTATATAGTGTGAAATAGGATGTAGTTGTCGGTCTTCCTCGACTTTTTCCTTTTTTATTCTAATGGGCTTGGGTATTTGGTCGCCCTTGCTGTGTTTTTTCGCTTTTCCGCTACTCATTTTATTTTTATAAACCTAAGCCAGATTTAAAAGATTCTCAGGGTCTGGTTAGATAGAATAATATCAATAGTTTTATTTAGTTTTCACAAAATTAAATTAAATTTCTCTTAGGCCGTGAAAATTTGTTTATAAATACAGTAGAGTTGCCTAGTATTTTAAATCCCTCTGTTGATAACACTGTTAATAACTCAACAGCTGACTTAACATGCTCATGTTAACAGAACATCTGTTCCGGTAGCCGACCAGGTTGTGAAAAGTTACGGTCGTGTTTTTAACAAAATTTACAAAATTAACAAAAGCAGTAAGTATTCAAATAACAATAAATCAGTGCTTATAAGTGGCCAGCAGTCAGCAGTATGGTTAGAAGGATAGTTAAATAAAAGAAAAATAATAGCCCAAAGTGTCCGTATGAAATAGCCCTGAAAGATGCATAGTTTTGGAAGTCAGTTAGTCACTAGGACCTGAGATTATAGCTAAGGTTAGTCGGAACCCTATTAATCTCTTAGAATACCTATTTTCTGTCAATTTATTTACTTTTATGATTTAACAGAGGGGCTTATGTATGACCCTTCGTTGTCACTGGGTTAGAATTCGTCAAATGCACCTGGTCACACTGACATAGCCTGTCTTCAGAAATGGCAGGTCGGTAAAAATAGCAATTGTTGTCGGGCGAAGCGAATACTCGTAATAGTGCTGCTGCGGGAAAAACCTTTCCCCGGCACCACGCGCTTAACAAACCAATGTGGTGGCCAACCCGCAAAAACAGTGCAAATGTGCGCAGGGCTAGTCGCCGCAGAACGATAAGCCGACAGAAGCGATAGAGCAGTGAAGTGACTAAAACGGATAAATCAAAGTACAAAGAAGGCCCTATTACGACCTCCACGATGAGTCTCTCGCGTGGCGGGGGCAACACGACGCTGGACATGCAGCCGCTGCTGGATGACAAAGGCGGGGATGATGAACAGCAGTTGGACGCCAATGGATCCGGCTCCAAGGAGCTGGGACACCGGGAACGGGAGGAATCCGCGGTGTTCGTCAAGAAGATCAGCAGCGCCCTTTTCTACGGACTGTCGTCGTTCATGATCACGGTGGTGAACAAGACGGTGCTCACATCGTATCACTTTCCATCGTTTCTGTTCCTAAGTTTGGGCCAGCTCACCGCCAGTATTGTGGTTCTGGGAGCGGGCAAGCGCCTGAAGCTGGTCACCTTCCCGCCGCTGCAGAGGAATACCTTCGCCAAGATTTTCCCCCTTCCCCTTATATTTCTGGGCAACATGATGTTCGGATTAGGCGGCACCAAGTCCCTAAGTTTGCCCATGTTTGCTGCCTTGCGGAGATTCTCGATCCTGATGACCATGCTGCTGGAGCTGAAGATACTGGGATCCAGACCCTCCACGGCTGTGCAAATCAGCGTTTATGCCATGATTGGAGGAGCCCTGCTGGCCGCCTCCGATGACCTCTCATTCAACATGCGCGGCTACATCTACGTGATGATCACCAATGCGCTGACCGCCTCCAATGGCGTCTACGTGAAGAAGAAACTGGACACGTCGGAGATCGGGAAATACGGCCTGATGTACTACAACTCGTTGTTCATGTTCCTGCCCGCCCTAGTGCTGAACTATGCCACCGGGGATCTGGAGCAGGCCCTGAACTTTGCGCAGTGGAACGACCCGGTGTTTGTCTTCCAGTTCCTGCTCAGCTGTGTAATGGGATTCATCCTGTCGTACAGCACCATACTGTGCACGCAGTTCAATTCGGCCCTGACCACCACAATTGTGGGCTGCCTGAAGAACATCTGTGTGACGTATCTGGGCATGTTCATTGGCGGGGACTATGTGTTCTCGTGGCTCAACTGCATCGGGATCAACATCAGCGTGCTGGCTAGTCTTCTCTATACGTACGTCACCTTCCGCCGGAAGCGGGCGCCCGATAAGCAGGCTCACTTGCCCAGCAGCAACCGCGGCGAGAATGTCTAGCATCGTCTCTAGCTCAAACTCAAGCCAAAGCCATACACAATGTATTCTAACTTTCGTACTTCGATTTTCCTTTAGACTCCACCCAACACAGCTGCCCCAGCAGCGCATCGTATCTGTATATATTTCTAGCTATGTATTAAACGAGTATATTTTAGCAAATTTTTAATTTTAATCACTTTGTACATTTGTCTGCAATATACGAATAAGTAATAGAAATATACAGACATTTCGCGAGATAACCGATAGTGTTCTCACTTTTTTCATTGAGTTCGGCGATAAGATTTTTTCCTGGAGATAAGACAGTGAAACAACTGTTCCCTAGCTAATTAAGTTAATATATATTTTGCGCCATATGTGCCACATGTGCTCTTCCCTAAAAAACAAAAGATTGCGAACAAAAAACAACTACTCTGTGATAGAATCTATTCTCTCTTGTCGACTCTCTTTTAAGTGTTTTTGCTTAATCGTAGTTTTATTTATTCTGGGCCTTGAGAATGTATACATTCTTTTAAATACTGCAGTTCCGGACTAGCCAGTAGCGTCATCGGACCTGTGGATACTCTTAGGTGGAGTTGAACCAAAAAAATTATTAGATTACGGAGGGAAAATGAATTGGAGTGACTGCTGTCATAAAGATATGATTAGAACGTTATTTTATTTGGTTCAAAGTAATTTTCCACCTTGTATAAGATTGGACTGTTTTGATATTAGGTTACCCAGAAAAAAGCCTTTATCTAAAAAGCTCTAATTGATAGTACTACCTAGTAGTAGCGCTACTACTGATAGTACTATACATTGGGCTTAAACCATTAGTAAACAATAATTCCATATGAGTTTAAAAAGTAGGATTGAATCCAAAAGCTTTCTGTCTTTTCTATTAATATGGCCAATTATCTGAAAGTTGAAACAACTATCCACTTGTTCCTACCCAGTTATTCCAAGAAATTTCACGCTTCTAGATTTATATCTTCCCAAATTAACTTCACCAGCTTTGATCATCATTAATAGCCAGGCAGCACATACCCGTTTAGTCCAAACGACAACAATGACGACATTGAAATTGGGCAGTAAATCCGAAAAAAAAGAACTGCCAGTGCTGGGTGCCAGTGCCCCCTGCAGCACATTGTTTAGGTTTTATTTCGAGACTCCCAGCTCATCGATGAGCAGGGCGTCCGGAGGGCACTGGCGGTAATGAGGAAGCCGAAACTGGTTTGCTCGGACTTAACCGTTGGGACCCGGTGGTGAGGCGACGGGGCAAATTGTTAGTCAGCATCAGGCCGAGTACCGAGTGTACCCACATTATGGACAAATTGTTTGCTCATATTCGCTGTGTTATTGAAAGTGGGCACGTACAACTCCAACTGGGCAGACCGGGCTTAAACCAAAGACAGGTAGTCAGGGTCATGTTTGTGTGTCGATGCTTACTGCTGCGACTGCGGCTGCGATGATGTAGCAACTTTGATAAGGTCGCCGTGTGTTCATACCCCTTGATTCCACACAGATCATGATGCAACGGTGCGTCTGGCGCCTCCAGATGCCGCTGGCTCTGCGACGTGGCCTCACCTCGGGGGAGGCTAGAAATCAAGAAGTGTCAGCAGAGGCAGAGCCTTTGGACTCTTTCGAGCGGCAGTACCTCAAGGATCGCATCCAGATATCGCCCTTCCAGAGGGTGTTCCTTGGAGCTGGATCTTCCATTGCAGCTTTGCTGGATCCCAGACGGTAAAGTTAACAATTAGGTCATCCAACAAATGGATACTTACATTAGTACTTTCGAATCTCTTCTAGCCACGACATGATCGCCTGTTTGGGAGAGACCACTGGCGAGAACGCTTTGGAGAACATTTTAGACACCATGCAGGCCAGCGAGGAGGGACAACGCATCATGGTCGACAAGCCTCGGATTCACACCAGCACCATCGACTTTAAGTATCTGGAAACCCTGCCCGCCGACTCCTTTGGAGCTGCCTACGTCAAGTTCTTGAAAGATAATGTGAGCCACGAAATGATTTTGTAAATCATTTTCCCTTTCATAACCCACTTTTCCAGCAAGTCACGCCAGACAGTCGCATGGCGGTGCGGTTTCTGGAGGATCCCAAGCTGGCCTACCTGATGACACGCTACCGCGAGTGCCACGACCTGATCCACACGGTTCTGGGCATGCCCACCAATATGCTCGGCGAGGTGGCGGTCAAGTGGGTGGAGGCTCTAAACACGGGTCTGCCAATGTGCTACGGCGGAGCTGTTTTCGGTGCGGCACGCCTCCGCCCCAAGTAAGTTCAGTGAACTCCATCGCGTTTCTGCTCCCAATTAGGCAGTTGTTTATTTTCTCATTTGCAGGCAGCGGCGTGCGTACTTGAAACACTATTTGCCCTGGGCCCTGGAGAACGGCAAGCGGAGCAAGCCCCTGATGCCCGTTTACTGGGAGAAACGCTGGGAGCAGAAACTCCAAGACCTGCGTGCAGAACTTGGCATTACTATCTTAAATAAAGTATAACTTATTGTTTTTGTAAATCACTTTCTATTCAAGTATTATATTGGGACCTCCTTCTTAAACAATTTTAATATTTTTGCCAGCTTTTATTCCATCCTTTACGGAAAATTTCTAGGGGACTCCCTTTGAAATGTGGAAAATGCAGAAATATCACATAATGCGGAAAACGCAGGGTAGCCGTATTCTGGCCCACGGAGAAGGCTATATCCTTGCCAAAACTCATCCGATTCTTGAGCGGATTATCTCAAACGATTTGCAGATCTATTCTCCACCAATCTGCATCAAAACCTGGGTGCAAAATATTTTTGAGATTTTTTTCAAATTTTCTAGGGGATCCACTTCAAAATGTGAAAAACTCAAGTTAGTCGCATTCTGGCCCACGGAGAAGGCTATATCTTTGCCTAAACTCATCCGATTCCTGAGCGGATTATCTCAAACGATTTGCAGATCTATTCTCCACCAATCTGCATCAAAACCTGGGTGCAAAATATTTTTGAGATTTTTTTCAAATTTTCTAGGGGATCCACTTCAAAATGTGAAAAACTCAAGTTAGTCGCATTCTGGCCCACGGAGAAGGCTATATCTTTGCCTAAACTCATCCGATTCTTGAGCGGATTATCTCAAACGATTTGCAGATCTATTCTCCACCAATCTGCATCAAAACCTGGGTGCAAAATATTTTTGAGATTTTTTTCAAATTTTCTAGGGGATCCACTTCAAAATGTGAAAAACTCAAGTTAGTAGCATTCTGGCCCACGGAGAAGGCTATATCTTTGCCAAAACTCATCCGATTCTTGAGCGGATTATCTCAAACGATTTGCAGATCTATTCTCCACCAATCTGCATCAAAACCTGGGTGCAAAATATTTTTGAGATTTTTTTCAAATTTTCTAGGGGATCCACTTCAAAATGTGAAAAACTCAAGTTAGTCGCATTCTGGCCCACGGAGAAGGCTATATCTTTGCCAAAACTCATCCGATTCTTGAGCGGATTATCTCAAACGATTTGCAGATCTATTCTGCACCAATCTGCATTAAAACCTGAGTGCAAAATATTTTTGAGATTTTTTTCAAATTTTCTAGGGGATTCCCTTCAAAATGTGGAAAACGCAGGGGAGCCGCATTCTGGCCCACAGAGAAGGCTTTATCTTGCCAAAACTCATCCGATTCTTGAGCGGATTATCTCAAACGATTTGTAGATCTATTCCCCACCAATCTGCATCAAAACCTGAGTGCAAAATATTTTTGAGATTTTTTTCAAATTTTCTAGGGGATCCCCTTCAAAATGTGGAAAACAAGGGGGAGCCGCATTCTGGCCCACGGAGAAGGCTTTATCTTTGCCAAACTCAAACGAATGAATGAATTAAACGAATATTCATTTAATTCTAAGTTTTTTTGGTTATATACATTTTTTTTTTAATATTTTTTATTTTTTTGTTATTTATAGAATTAATTTGTCTAATTTAAGGAATATCTAGCTTTTTATAAACCACACACACACTACTACACAGGAACTAAAAGAAAAAACACAATGACCTTGCACTTTTGGAAACCAAAAATCGCCGTCCCGAACCTCCTTATATACTGTCAGCCAGAACCACTTGCGAATTATAACTTTTTAAAAAATATTTTTTTTTTTAATAATTTATTTTTTGACTATTTCCCCTATTCTATGGCAAATCCATAGGTGAAAATTCGTTCTAAAATTGAAAATAAAATTTTTTTGTTTATCTAGAAATCTATTTCTAGAATATCTATTTTTTCAAAAAAAAATATTTCAAATATTTTTTTGACATTTTTTTCAGGGGAGCCGCATTCTGGCCCACAGAGAAGGCTATATCTTTGCCAAAACTAATCTTAAAACTAGATCTATTCTCCATCAATCTGTATCAAAACCTGGGTGCAAAATATTTTTGAGATCTACATATTTTTAAATTTTTCATTTTGATCCCCTTCAAAATGTGGGGATCTTCAGGGGAGTCAAATTATGGCCCACAGAGAAGGCTATATCTATGTCAAAATACCCCTGATCCCCAAGAATTTTTTAAAATTTGTCTTAGCCTGACGCAGATCCAACACCAGTGGGTACTTTACATTAATGAAAGTGATCGCAGCGATCTGGCAACCCTCTGATCAGTGTTTGCATTTGCTGAGGGGATTTTGTTTTTGTCTAATTGTTTAATGGCAAACTATTTATTAAACCGACACCATGGCTGAGAAATTCAATGGATTTAGCCACGATGAAATCCTCAAAATAACCGGAGTAAAGGAGGGAACCAATGGAGGCGGGAAACGAGCCGCAAACTTAGAAGCAGGTTAGCGATCGAGATTCATTCATCAACGAAGTGTGTAAACAATGATCTGTTTATAACAAAACCTCTTTCGTGTGCGTGTATTTGTGTTTGCGATCACAGCTAAGCAGGCGCTCCGGAATCAACCCGGCATACGCCGGATGCCCGACAAGATCTTTCGACAAGCGGACCAGTTGCGAAAACAACAGCAGCCACCACCAGAGAAGAAGACACAAAAATCTCAAGAGCTGGCGAACAAGGCCAAACTGGGAGCTGGAACTCCCACGGTAAATCCAACTCCAGCAGATGATGTCGTCACCGTTGCGACAGACAAATCACTGGACTTGGAGCGACCGTTATCGGACTCCCTAATGGCAGCACTCTATCATGGCCATGAACCGAAACCCCCATCTCGTTCCACTGCCACGTATGCGGATGCTGCTGGCGAGAGCAGCGAGACAACTGACGACAGTTCTATACTGAAGATAAGCAACGGAAGCGGCAGCAATGGATCGACGGACGATGCCAGCATCTTGCCAAGTTCAAAGGACTCTGTATCGCGCAACAGCGATCGTCTCAACACGGACTCGCCCTTCAAGGGTATCTCGCTTAAGGATTTTGAGCAGCATCGCAAGATGATCGAGGAGCAGAACAAACAGAAGAAGCAGATGCTCTACCAGGCCATTGAACAGCACACGCAGAAGACGGCGGCGGAATCTCGGAAGATTGAGGAAATACGCCACGAGCTGTCCAAGCTGGAGAGTGATCTTGCAGTGGACGTGGCTCTGCTTCGAAAACAGATTGACAATGCCTGCATACATTTTTCCACAGTGGAGTAAGTATATCATTTATAACTTTCCTAAATGGTTTCTAAAGCAAAGGTTTCCTTTCCACAGAAAACAATATGTGAAGATTGAAGCTCAATTTCTGAAGGCCAAGATGGACTTACACCAGGCCTCTGAGAAGAAGGAGCTCCTTACTGAGCACCTGTGCACGGTTATTGCTCACAACGAGGATCGCAAGGCCCAAAAGCTCACAGAACTCATGCAGAAAGTAGGCCTTTCGCCCTCTGATGATTCCCCTGCCACCCCTCCAAACCAGAGCTCCTAAACTAACTGCCCAATAGAACTATTTCTGGCGTAAATTTGTTTGTACCTTGTTTAGCTATATTGGATTAGAATCCACATCTAATGCAGGCCTGATTTATATGTTCTACTTTTCCAAAGCAATTTCCTGAGTGCTCTCTCTAATATTATTATTGTATTAATGTTCGTAGGTTAAGCAGAAAAGTGCAAATCGAAATAAAATAAATGTATAATATGTGTATAAAATAAAACAAGATGTGTTAAAAAGTCTGATATATTATTTAGAAGCAGTTGAATTGTAGGGTATATTAGGGTGGACCTTCAAAAAGGCATTTTTTTCTATGGATATGGCAACACCAATGCAACAGCTGATTGTTTTGAGTTAAATAAACGTGCAGGAAACCCATACGAATTGCTAGCTTAAACAAACTTATTTTGATTGTTAATTAACTTAAATAATAGCCAAAATGGCAGGACGTGGAAGAGGAGGCAAAACTGGTACCCTCACGGCGGAACAAATGGCCATGTTGGGCTGTACAAAGGATCTACCCGTACAAACAGCGCCACCGCCTACCTTTCCACCGGTTTTAAACAGGCCTACTACCTTGGAGGTTTGTAATCAAAGATTCTTCCTGAATTTCTTATAAATTATTATTTTTTTCCCTAGACAACAGCCACCCAAAACTACCAGCTTCTGTGGAAAGAAGACTTCCTCAACAGAATGAAGGATTCACCCTATTATATTGTGTCGGCCAGTCAAGACACTCAAAGCCAGGAGCACAAAGACTGGCGAGAGGTAATCTAACTCATTCGTCTTGTATTTATTTTATATTAAAACGTCTTTTAATCCTCAGAAAGCCATAGAACGCATGAAACTCAAAGCTCAACCCGAATTCGACTACAAGTCCATGCCCCGCGAACTTAATTTATCCACCCGCAAGCGTCGTACTGCCGCCGATGTCAAGCCCAAACTGCTGACTAAGAAAACGAATATCGAGGATAGACTGAAAATTCTGGAGCAGAAGGAACTAAAGACTGGTGGCGTCGAGGAAGACGAAGTCAAACAGGAATCTGATTCCGAGCAGGAAGAGGAGCAAGATGATCCTGAGGCGGCGATGGACGAAGAGATGGATGAAGAGAACGACTACGGCAACACATATTTCGATAATGGTGAAGCCTACAACGATGATGACGACAATCTGGACGATGGTCCCGTGTACTGAACAAAAATACAAACATTCTGTAAAATAATTTTGGATCTGTGATTTACTAAGTCGCCACTTTCAGCTTATTTAACACAAATATCGGATATACATTAAGGGAATATAAGCTGGTTTAGTCCAGGCTCTTGGGGGCATAGTAGTTGAAGTGGATCAGACCAGAAGACTTCACCTGTAAAAATAATTGTCATAGTGGGGGCAATTTGATAGGATGATTAATAAACGTACGAATCCAATGGTGCCAGCCAGGACAAGGATGCCAGTCAGGAGGACAGCGTTGTATTTGCTGTTCTGTTGGCTGTGCTGCTCCTTCCAGTCTCCGGCGGGGACGGGCAGGTCGTTCATGGTGGAGTGCTGGTGGTGGCCACCGTGGTAAGCGGCACGGGACATAGCGCCAACTGCAAATAGAGATTATTAGTAATTTCTTAGGGTAATCTTTGCCTAGGTGCTCCTCATCGATTCCTTGCAATGCCCTCACATTATGTAATTTTTAAGGTTAGCAGATGGACTGAAAAAGGCTATTCCCGGACCTTAACTCACCATTCTTGACCAGGAGACCCTGCTTGACAATGTGCTTGACCAACATGATTGCTCGAAAGTTGCTGAAAACAGTTTATTCTCGTTTATTTTTATCAGAAATGATTTTTTGCGAGAAAACTCACCCGTAGATAATCGATGTATCGAACAGTGTGGCCGTTTAACAGTTCTGTTAAAATCCAACATGTAGTTTACACTCTGTTAACCCGCCCTGTTAGATCAGCTGATGTGTGGAGGCGTTCTCTGGGTGACTGTTGCAAGTGCAAACGCAAACAATTGGCAAATTGGTGAAAAGAGCTATTAAATACGCACCCAGTGCCTTGTCTAACATTCCCAACCAGCCATGCTGTCCATCGGAGCCCTGGCCAACATCAAGCACACGCTGCAGAAGGAGCTCTTCCTGGCCTCCGGTGAACGCCTTCTTTCTGTCGTCACAGTAGTTAAGAAAAAAGACAAGAAACCGTGCTATCTTTGCGTTGTGACTACGGCACCCCCAGTTCCTGTGATTACCCTCTGCCTGGTGAAGCAGTCGGAGCAGAGGGATGGAGAATACAAGCGCAAGAGGAGCTGGCAGCTGGACGAGATCAAGTGGGTGGACGGAAGGAACGAGCAGTTTGAGACTCACGAGTTTGATCTACAACTCGAGAAAGTCTATAAATGGTATGCCCTCAATCTCCACGAGCGTCAAAATTTCCTGGCCGTGCTAAACAGGCAGATTCAAAAGAGTGTGCGTGGCCAAAGGGCAGAGTTCCGGAATGTGCCAAGTGCTTGGCTCTCTGAAAAGTCGCCGGAAAAGGTGGCATTGGGCAGGGCCGCCCAGAAGGCCACGCAGCACACCGACGACGAGGAAGACGAGGAGGAGGCCCAAGAGTTCACCGCCCTAACCGACAAAGAAGCCAACGAGCTGGGAAAACTGTTTTCCGAGTGCGACTTTGCTATCAAGGATGCAGAGCAGTTCATCGAGCAGTTATCCCGTGAGCTGCACGATCTGGATGGGGTAAGTAAAATGATTTATAAACGAGATAATGATGCTAATTATTTCTTTCAATACTAGGCAAACATTCAAAGTGTCTTGGCATCGGAGCAGAAGGTTTTGAAGATGATGGAACACATCGACAATGCCATCTCTGAGGCTGATAAGTTCGAGACTCGCCTGGATAGCTATGAGGATATTCTGGGCCATGTCAAGGAGACTATGGAGAAAATTGGCGGAAAGAATGCCATGATCGAGATAGCCAACAATAACAACATTAAACTGATGAAGGAACTCAACAAAGTCATTGTAAGACCTAATAATGCTTCCTAGATTAAAAAAGGCTCATCTTAATTTTATTTTAGACCCAGCTAGACTTGCCGCACAGCCAGCAGCAGGCTCTGGATGAGCCCGATCTTAAAACAACTACTGGACGCAAGGCGGCCATAGCTGCTGCCCAGTGTCTGCAGCAGGCCATGAACAGCGACATTGATCCCGCCCTGCTTCGGTTAGAGGCAGTGCAGGATCAGCGAAAACGTTTCGAGAAATGGAAACAAAAGTTCTCGGCCACCGTCAGTCGATTTATGAACAACCTGTTTATCCATCTGGGCAACGAGATCGGAGACATGCCCGTTACAAGTACTGAACTGACTTTGCCCAACCATTCCAATGTACATCGCGAACTTACGCCTTATACGGAGCTGATGCACTGGTCTAAGGCAATGGATAGAAAAACTTATGATGGTTTGATGAGGGTATACACGGCGTCCCTAAGCAAGATCTATGAAAGAGATGTTAGGAATTTCTTTAATTTGGTAAGAACTTCGTGATAAATTTTAATAATCCCACTTCATAAACTTCACCTTCTTGTAGGCTAAAATGCAAGTCTCTGAGAAGCTTCGTAGCTCTCGTGAGGATCTGGATATGTCCACCTCTTCGAGAAAGTCTGCAGTGTCTACCATCCCCTACGGTACTTTGGGCATCAATCGTGAACAATGGGGTCCGGGAGTGGAGAGTGCGGATCGAATTCGCTTCGATGCTCTTTTGGAAAAGGTTCTAGCCGAGCTAGAACCAATAGCCCTGCAAGAGCAGCTCTTCTGCATTAACTTTTTCCAGATGGATGTGATTAGTCCAACGACGAAGAATACCCAGACAACGCTGGAGATGGAGAAGGCAGTGGATATGTCGCAGTCAATCCTGGCGGGAGCAGTTTCTCCCACGGCAGAGGGAGTGCCTCAGAAACGAATCGATCGCCAGATAAATGAGGATGTCCGTAAGCTTATGATGGGTCTCTTTGGCTGTTTGGAACCCGAATTAGTCAGCTTTATACAAAGCTTCGAACGTGTGGATAGTTTGTGAGTAATACTGGATGTTTTATAGTGAAAGAAAACTGACATATTCCATTTAATTTCCTCTTTAGTTACTCTCTGTATGTTCTGGTTCGCCTTACCCAGCATGTCATGTCCGCCCAGGACACACATTCCTTCCTGAGCATGACCTTCGCTTCGGCTTTGGTTCAGGTGAAGCGTAATTTTGATCGCTTTATGCAGCAACAGCTTCAGTCGATCCGCGAAGCCAAGCTCCACAAGCGTTCCAAAGCCATACTGCCTTATGTGGAGAACTTTGAGAACTTTGCCCAGACAGCGGAGGGCATATTCCGTAAATCGGATCGGCGCACAGACATGGAGAAGTGGTACCTGCAGCTGGTGAACGCCATCTTCGAAGGAATCCATCTCCACTCTCAAGAGCACCCCAAGACCCCGTCGCAGGTGGTGCGAATGGAGAACTACCACCACATGTACGCATTGCTGGCCCAGCTCAAGGTACCTGGGCTGGATGCTTTGAAAAAGGAGGCCAAGACGCGATACACCGAGGCTTTAAAAGCTTATGTGACTCAGTATTTCGGCCGGCCGCTCGAGAAACTGAATGTAAGTTCAATGGCCTTTGGCTTGGAACTTCTCGTGACTTCATTTTCTCCTCCCCTTCCTTCCAGCAATTCTTCGAGGGTGTGCAGCAGAAGGTGGCGCAGGGCGTCAAGGAGACGGAGATCAGTTATCAGATGGCCTTCTCCAAGCAGGAGTTACGAAAGGTTATAGCCCAGTATCCGGCGCGGGAAGTGAAAAAGGGACTGGAGAACCTATACAAGAAGGTGGAGAAGCATCTGAGCGAAGAGGAGAATCTTTTACAGGTCGTGTGGCGTGCCATGCAGGAGGAGTTCATTGCCCAGTACAACTATTTGGAGGAGAGAATCCAGAAGTGTTATGCGGGCGCCATGATCAATCTAGAATTCAATATCCAGGACATACTCAACTTTTTCTCAGACATTGCGCGGTCTCATTGATCACTGATCACGGAAGGGGTTGTAAAGTGTTGTAGCCGACAATTATTTTTAAGTGCAATAGTATTTAAAGCGTTGTTTCTTTTGATTGGAAAATATATGGCGCGAAAATATTTAAAAATTATGAATATCCATTAGAGATTCAAGTAAATTAAAAACTTTTTAAAGAATTGTTAATTCTAAAAGCTTAAAACTTTTATTTAAATATCTTAAATATTGTTTTGCTCTCTATATTGCATCTGCTCTCTATCACAAGAGAGCAACTGCTTATGGTAGAGAGCTATAGCTTAAGCTCTCAGTTCCCGAAGTGGGTTCGGGCCCCGAACCACGTTCCACAACATCATCGAAAGCCGCCGACGAAGTTGCACCACCTTAAGTTCCACCACATTCAAGTTTCGCGCCACAGTCGGATCGGTTGTCGGTCGAAGTCGTCGCTCCTCCATTGAAAACCCCTAACCAGAAACCATTTTATTGTGTGCATTTTTAAATTGTTCTATGTGTTTTTCGAGTGCGCGTGTGTTCCCCCTGTTTTGATGCAACTGCATGAAATGCAAATGGTAATTGCAAAAAATTGAAAAAGCAGCTAAAAAAGTGAATATTTAAAAGCCCGCCGTTTCTAAGCCATCCGAAACGAAACGAAACGATCCTCCCTCCTGTCTGGCTAAAACTTTTATTATAGCCTCTATAGCGCGACCCGTCCGACCAGTTTCGTGCTGCGGTTGTCGCTCCTGACTCGATTCTCCTTGCCTCCTTACCTTTCAGTATTTTGTGTCCCACTCCTTACCTTGCCTTACCTTGCCCTCGGTCTTTGCATTTTTCATGCACACACGCTCCCCATTTTCAGAGGTTATTTTTTTTTTTATATATATTTCGTGCTCCCGTGCTCATGTTCTTCCACTTTTTCGGTTATAATACAGTGGTTACCGGTTAAACGTCATTCCGGTTAGGAGAGACTACTGTTAAAACAAATCGGTAGTTTTTATGAATATTTCTTCAAAAGATTTTCCATGATTGGGTTTGTTGACTAACCGGATAGGTTGATAAATGCATGCTAGACTAATGAATATTCCAAAATGGTCTTTGGTAATAAAACATTAGACCTGAAACCCCCTTTATAAAATCTATATCCCTGATTTGTTATAGCTTTTTTTTTAAAGCCCTATGTCCACTGTAGTCTTCTTCCTTTTGGGTTGGTTCCTCTTTGGTCAGTGCCTTTGTTTTTACCTTTCCGGCGGTCATCGGACAATTGTTGTTGCCGCTGCCGTGCATTTTAACGAAGTTTCAGTGAAACCTGGCCCACCTTGATACACCTAGCCTCCGGCCAGTCAGTCTGTTAGCCAGCCGATCGCCTCCCAGCAAGTTCAATGCTGTGGCAATGCGATGCGATGCATTTTCGACTTCCGCCACAACAATTAGCCTTAGCCAGTACATAGCCCCAGACCTTACACTCACAAAACGCACTGTAATCGTCATGTACTTGGAGAAACCGAGGATAAAGTGCGCGATAAGACTGACTATAAGTTGGAACTGTGACTATGGTTTTGTGATTAAGTGCAAGACAGTTATCTATGTCATCAGTAAATATTGTAATCACAGAGATGATCTTGAGTCATAAAAAACAACTCGGGACCCAGTAGTATTTTATATTTTACAGGTACTTCTGTACTTAAATGGGTAATATTTCTCCATTGACACCTTGAATTAATAAAAACCGTGTATTTTCCTTCTGTTTAAAAAGCGGCTCTATCAAAGTATTATAGTCATATGCTTTTATTTTATTTAATTTCCCTGATTGCCGCCATTGAAATGTATATTTGCCCCACTTTAATTAGCATTTTAATGAGTTATTTGTCTGAAGAGAATTGTACATTTTTTTGCACTTGATAAGCAGAGAGAAATAATGGTCCATTACTAAATACACTCTCACCTATTGTGTTTTCACTGAAAGAAATGATAAGGAAGTAGTCATACGTATACGTAATATTTTTAGAAAATATATTAAATATTAAAGAAAGTATGGAGCTTGAGAAGACACCTCTTATAAGTTTCTTAAATATTATATTCTTTATTTTTTTGTTCAGTGTAACTGCTTGTCACACTTTAATATCTCTGTCTTCACAAGGAGATAGTGAACAAGCATTAATGGTATGTGACCATATAAATTCCCTCTCGTTTTCACTCCGTACCAAGTATGTTTACTTATTTATTTACTTAACACACAAATATTTACGTGGCACATTTAGAACATTTTATGAAGTCAAAGGTGCCTGGAGAGGAAATTGCATGGAGCTGCGTAATATCCGCCGTAGAAATGCATTGCCTGGCAAATATTTATTTGCACACAGTTATTATTATCTTTTGTTTTGGTACTCAGGAAGGTGAATACCGCCACCTCCTGCCCCCCTCCCCGTGGTAAGGGGGGAAGCCATCAACTTTGTGGTTCGTGACTGAGTCATCAGGTTTTTTTTGCCCCCCCCATATCTCACTCAGGTTTTAGCCTGAACCAGAACCCAAGTTTACTTGAGGTTAGCAGCTAGAGGCAGACTTTATTTTTTGCTCCGCCATTTCTGGCTTCTTACCTTTCATGCTTTCGCCCTCTCTTGGCCTTTTTCTGCTTCTACCACGGTTCTTGGCAATGCATTATGGCTTGCTGTGGGCCGTACATTTCTTTTTTCGTACTTTTGCCCACCCAACTGACCGTTATTTTCTAGATTTTAGACTCTCTATGAAGTCTAGGTCTAGACTAATTTTAAAAAAGAATTTTCCAGCTACGCTGTCGTCAGCTTTTTTCACCAAACTGACCGTACTTGGGCTCCCAATCTGCGCCATACGTGCTCAAATATTTCGGATGTTTGGCAATCGAAAAGCTCAAACAGTAAGCGTAAGAAGCGCTTGAAACACCTACTACTATATACAGGTGCTACAATAGTTATGTGTGTTTCTTTTATAATGCATGTGGAAAAAAAAAATACTAAAAATAAATAAAGAGTGCGGTGCGGCATACATTGTTTTGAACAATGGAACGTTATACGATAAAAAGTGTATAAACAACCCGAACGGGGGGTTGCATGTCACCTGCTCAGCTCGGCGCAGCCCTGAGAAAATGAAGTCACTCTCAAATAAACAAAAAACTGAAAAAAAAAAAATTATAAAAAAACCTGGCCAGAAGAGTTGCAACAAGTGCTAACTGAATATATTCATACCGGCCACATACATAATACCAGCCTCTCACCCTGCTCGGTGAATCTTTATTTATTGTTGGCGTTGCCGCGTTCTCAAAATCCGAGTCATGTGAACCTGTTACTTTACAAACATTGTAACTTTACCTCAAGACGTCAGTAAAGGGATTGGAAAAGTGCGAAAATTGGCCAAGAGAAAAGGCAACTCGATCTATTGATCTCTTAAACAGAAATATTGGAAAGCCAAAAAGGAGTGGGAAAGTTTTTATTACGGAAACGGAAATAGGAGTGCACTTGAATGAAAGTGCATTGTCTATATTCATTTTCAATGTTCTGCTTCACAGAGTTTCAATATTTTGATTTCCTATTATTTGCTTAACCCATATTTTTCTAAAATTAACAAAGCCACTTGACTTTTATCATATTACCTTCTGGAAAACTGAAGCCCCTAGAGCGATATCCCCGGTACTTAGAAATGATGAAAAAAGAAACGTTGGAGCACGTCATTTTCGATTGGGAGTAGAATTGCAGATCTCCAGGGGCGATGGCTCCACGCACACGTTGAAAGGGAGGTTGTTTAGAGTATTTCCCAGATTTAGAATTAAAAATAGAGAGGGAAATACTTTTCAGATTGTATAAATTAAAAGCTTTATGGCTAGAAACAGAATTTTTTCCTGTGCTCCACCTCCTTGAGACGACAGTAGACAAGAACTTGGGACCATTTATGGTGTCAGTAAGGTACACTGCAGCCGGTAATGGCCCTGATAATGATGCCTCTCGGCTGCCTCGCCACCAGAACGCCACAAAGTGGTGCAATTTGCTCCAATGTTAAGAACAGTCTGCTGTTGCTAGAAAGTGGCCAAAAGGCAAATACAAAAAAAAAGCAACGAGCCTCTTTTAAAGCCAAGCCATGCTGCGGAAAATGGCTCTGCACTCATTTTGGTAACTGACAGCAGCAACTCGGCTATCGTCCCCTTTTTTTTTATTTTTACTCCAAGTCTATGTCTATGTCGGGTTTGGTTTGTTTTCACCATGCAAACGTGATCTTGGAAGTGGACGAACTCGTGTCTTACATTATATATAGACCAGTTTCCTCATGGTGATGTGCCCGGTTCTAATGCGGTTCCGAACATTGTCCCGATCCCGATGCCGATGCCGCTTTTTCTAGCATTTTGAAACTGAATTGCCTTGAGGCATGTTGCTCCAAAAAGAAAACAAGAAAAGTGTGTGCGACTGGTTGGGGGTTTGGAGCTTTAATGGTTTCACCTGGGAAACTCAGGTGTGACGAAAATGTCAACATAACTCAGCTTGAGGCCAGCTTAGCTTGGGGATTACGAAATTATCAAATCAAGGGTACTCTTATCATCCTAAAAAAGGTCTTTTATGAAATTGCTGTCAAATAAAATTAAAAACCAGCTTTGCCGTTATGAAAATTAGTGGAAATTAAATTTAAAATGTATGTAAATTGGGTTATAGTTGGGGTAATTGGATTGGTAGGGAGATAATATGATTCTCGAGTTCTTTAACCCAGTAACTAGATTTGATGAATCAGAGGAATAAAATCTCATGTTCATTTTGGAAGCTGTGAAGATGATGATTATTGTCAGACCATTAATTTTCCTAGAGAGCATAAAAACAACCAAAACTAGACAAAGAACTCACACGCTTCCTCTTAAGAAACTTAACAAAAAGAATTATTTTAATCCATTCCCCCCAAGCTCTCATCAAAAGGCACATCAATAATGCGCAAATGTTCTGGGCACCATGAAATATTTGCTGGATGCATGCTAAATTATTATTAAGAATAATTGTTGAGTTGTCGGATTTATAATTAGAAATGAGCCGGAAACCGGTATACCTATGTCTGGGCCTGATGCCGATCTCCGGCTATCAGCAAAACATCTCCAATTGTAATTAGTTATTGGCAAAAGAATCTTTCAGTTTTGCCATTGAATCGTCGTTAAGAAACATCTCAGAACTAGGAACTCATTAGCATTATGTATATGTTGCCAGTAGCGTCAGAGTACTTACCAGGGATGTATACTTTTTTCTTTTTTGTTTCATCGTGTGAACAATCGAAAAGTCAAAATATACAGAATTCAATTACCCTCCGCCAGGCGAATGAAGTTGTAAACATCGGCGCGACCTTGGAAAAATTGGGAATTTACCGAAACCCGGGGCGAATTCTCACTTCCTTGCCAGCCTGCGACTGGGCCTTGTCCTTGTCCTTTAGTTTCGGGCAGGGGCTTAAGTCAGGCAACACCCTAATGCACTGAGAAAAATAGTAGTGTCCTACTTATAAATATTAAAGAACTTTGAGGTTGTTAGGTATTCGTTATAGGTGTTCATCTTGTCAGAAAAAATTTTCCCTTTTAAAT